GACCTCCTCAGTAGGTGTTGGCAAGTTCAGCTTTATCGGTAAGCTCCCCTTCTGTCGGAGTTGCCGAGTCTATCAGTGTGGTGTATATCTTGTGTATATATGTAGATAGGTTATGGGTAGGTCGGGACTCTATTCCGATCACAGTACATCTATGAGTAGAGGCTTGTAGACATATCATGTCGGTTAGTGCAGTATGTTGGGCTTGTAGGTCCTGTGCGTATATTTTGTTGGCTTGTCAGTTGTAGTAATTATGACGGCCTTGCCGGCCCAGCTTTATGTTGACATTAGTCTGCGTCAGTCTCCATTTAGTTTTATATTTTGTATCACATATTATCTTGTAATATGGCCCATAGACAAAGTATGACATTACATATTCAGAGTCTCTTAGTCGCAAGTGGTACGCAAGGATAGATGAAGCACTAGGTGCCGGTCTCGCCCCCGGGCTCGGGGCATGGCAATAATACCTGAAGTGAAGCTGCTCATGGCCTCAAACTGTTGAACGACACGCTATAGCTCAAAACGACCGGTCAGGTCGTTACAAAGACTCAGTATAAAGAAGAGTGAAAATAGTACTTTCATAAAACGAGCCCCTCGGACATAATATCACTCATATATATATATATTTATAGTCCCTCGGGCAAGCCTCTCAGTCACTCGGGACTCAACTTTCACCAATCAACACTCACACTCAGCACCCGCGCTCAATAAACATCTTATAACAACTGCTGCGGCGTGCACCCTGATCCATAAATATATAGTCGACTGCGCTCACTGGGGGTGTGCAGACTCCGGAAGGGCTCCTACAACCCAAGCGCTATATCGCTGTGGCGTGAAACCTGATCCAATATATCGCTGCGGCGTGCATCCCGATCCATATATATATCGCTGCGGCGTGCAGCCCGATCCATAACTATCCTCACAATCCGTCCCTCGGCCTCACTCACTCATCAACCTCACAAGCCACTTGGGCTTCTCAGTGTAAGCTCAGGGAACTCAGCCCAAAATACTTTCATAAATATTGAAAATGGAGTGAGGAACAAGATTTAACAATAAATAGGTATAAATCATTACTGAGGATAATGCTTTCTATCATAAATAATGTGAGGATAACAGTAAAATACCCCCGAGGGTCCAAACAGTACGGCACAAGGCCCCAAATATGGCATTCAGCCCAAGTTAGTAGAATCAATTCTGAAAACACATAGATATCATATAGAGTCTATCAAAATATGCAACTCTAGTCAACATCAGAATTCACATCCGAGACCTTCTACTCATAAGTCAACATTCGGTTGACTTTTCCAACTTAAGATCCTAAATTAGAGACTAAGTGTCTCATTCTACTCTATGACCACTCCGAACACAACACAACCAACACGATACGATCAAATACAACTGAACAACATGCAAGGGAGCAGAAGTGAGGGAAACGAGATAGTGACTCATGAAACGACCGGCCGGGTCGTTACAATAAATCTGGTTTAATTTGTCAAGATTCTAAAATAAATATTTTTTGTAGGAATTAAATTAAAGCTACTTTTTATAACATAAGAAATTAAAAGTTTAGAAACATGTTCTGATTTTTTTCTCGGGTTGAGTCTTATTCTTAATGTTTTCTTTAATATTTATATGTCTATTTTTACATGGTAATGAAAAAAAATTTGTAACCTAGGTACATAGAATTCGTTCTTTCCAACTTTGTATAAAAATTAAAAGAGGAACAATATATCTTTATTTAGACAACAAAAGCAATTTTCTTAACTTAAAAAGGTATGGTGGTTAGTAAATAGAATATGGTTATATGGAATTAGTAAACAAAATATGGTTACTTGGAAGTAGTTCGTTGGATAACTAAATCAAGGTATAATTATTGTTTTTAAATACTTAAATATTAGAAATTCTTACATAATTCAAATAAGGAAATACATTTAATAGTAAAAATTTTATTGATTTAAAGGTCCTAACTCTTAGGGAGATAATTAAATGACTATTTTATCTATTATAAACTCTATTTTTAAAAGGGCAAAAAAGCCGAACGACATTTCGTTAAGAGACTTCGTGCTTTTAATATAGTATAGATATTGGCACGAAAAAGTCTATATCTTTATCAATTCAAATAACTACATCATCTGAGTCTTTTAAAAATTAATGAGTATAACTTTTTGGTTTCACTTTTACCATATTTACCTTAAATTGTATTTTAACTTGCACAATCATCAACTTGAATTATTTAATTATAAATTAAAAGTAATTTGTATAATTTTGTATAGTTTTAAAATATTATTTCAAAAATATTGAAGAATTAATGTCCGAGTTTTTTACTCTTATGCTTTCAAATAGATATTTATTGTTAATATAGTTGATCATATGTTGAAATTTGTTTTATTTTTGCAAGAATAATGTAACGTCCCGACCGGTCGTTTTGAGCTCTAGCGCGTCGTTCAGCAGTTTGAAGCCATGAGCAGCTTCACTTCAGGTATTATGACTTGTACGCATTGTC